AAAAAGCAAGTTCCAAACCGTCTATGTACCAATGCACACTGCACAGGGTGGCAGATTGCAGACTATAATCTGAATGAACTATCAGTGAATGAAGTGATTTAATCCTGTAGTAGACTGATTCAGGCTGATAACAATGTCTATGTACACAATCTGCCAAATAAGACTCAGAACCAACTAACTTATTGGAGCTGTACAATGCTGCAAAATGTGACATTAAGAAACTTTTCAACTATGTTCTGTCTGAAAATATTTGTCTTGATTAAAATATAGCTAGGTAATCCTTATCATCATGGTGGCCCAGTAAGGTTATGGACAAATTCATTTTTTTTTCTTTTCTCAAGAGTTCTGTGCAACCATTCTAACATTCTAACCTTGTTATAATCTCTTCTCCCACATTTGGATAATTTAATAATTTTCTTTTAAAAAACTAAATTGAAGAGAATTGTGAAACTATTTTAATCACTTTAACTTTTAGCCTTTTATATGGTGGTGATGGCCACTAAAGAGACTGAATAAATCCTGGAGAACAAGCTTTTGGGGAATATTCAATCTTGAAAAGCCAATGCTATTTTCAGGCTTGGAACAACATATTTATAAAGAAGTTGCAAAGGGATAACTATGGGAAAGGGGTATTTCCTCACCCTGTTGTGAACAATTCACAGGCTTCTGTGGGTTATTTGTGAGAAATAAAATGCTGGGCTAATATGGACTTTGATGTGAGCCAGCGGGACTGTTCTTAAAATCTTCTATCTCTATACAAGAGATGGTTATTAATCAGTTATCTTTGATCTTCCAGTTTTTGCCAATATTCCTTTGTCTTTTCCCACCACCAATTTCTGAATTTTGTTAATTAGAGAAAAATTTTATTGAGTACAAGATATAGGTTACCCACTGTGCTCTTAGGAGAAGATGTGTGAATAGCATAATATCACATTTTGAGGAAGGAATTTTAGCAACAGTTAGTGCAATCTAACATTCCTAATATTATCATATACTGTTTACTTAAAGAGGGTGAAAGACAAGATATATATCAGTAGCAGCTAAAATATTCATTCTCAGGCAGAGAGTTGAAAAAGAGTTTAAGAAGGTCTTTAAAGGTTTTTGGAATTGATATTGTCTTATGTATTTCAGATCAAAGGTATTATCAAACAAAATTTGACTGATTATATACCATCAAATTGGTATCGACCACATAGTGAGCACATAGATTTTTTTTTCAGGATGATCCATCACCAACCTGGTCTTCCAATGATGCATTATTGCCACTGTAATTGAGTCTTTTCATCTTGCAAGTCCAACTTTTGCTTCCATGGAATGTCACGATAATTGTACACAGAACTGTACAATTCTGATTTTGTAGGTATAGACAAGTCACAACATCCGAATATCTTTTCAAGGTTTTCATAAATGCTCTCCCAAGTGCTAATCAGTGGCATATATCTTGATTGCTGGAATCCTAAGAAGCAGAAATATCTTACCACTTTACTATCTTCATAGTCAATTGGTCTCATGTTTTTACTGTGCTCCTTGGCTACAATCACTTTCATTTGCATGTTTAATGATAAGAATACAGTCATGTCATCAATATAGTACAGATTATTGGTGTTCCTCCAGTTTTAAAATCTTGCTCATCTTCTGTTAGTCCCGCTTCCCACAATATATACTATGCCTTGACTCTTGCATATATTATATGCTTTGTGTCACTTCTTTACTGAGGTTGAACCAATTTATTTTACCATATTGTGTCTGCAGCATTTTGATCTGTATGTAGATTTTGCATGAGAACAATGAAGAGGAGCAATGGAGATGTGAGACTAAGAGAGTAAGACAGAAAATGGTACAGAAAAATTGAGGGACTTGGTTTTTGGTTTGGTGTACTGCATTTCAATTAACCATGGTGTGGGCAAACCTGAGTCACAATGTATTTGTTGGGTTTGTAGGGAAAAATACACATTTCATTTTATGTATACTACAAACTTCTTTGTAATGCACATGAACGGTGCACACACCGTAAATGCCGGCGTACAAGGCGACCCGGCTTATAAGACGACCCCTGTCTTTATAGCCGGGCTGCATTCCTAGAGCGTCGTCTTATACGCTGGAAACTACCAGTATTTCCGGCGTATAAGACGACTCGGCGTATAAGACGACCCCCGTCTTTGGCGCCAATTTCAGCGCTCGCGGAAGTCGCCTTATACGCCGGCATTTACGGTATTTTCATTTGGCAGTTTTCTATAAAATTCAAAAGACAAAGAAAACAACATAACCTACGGACTTGGCAACCAGTCTAAACAGCATGACAACATTATCTGTAATGCACACAAAGTGCAGAATTTTGCATTTGCAGTCGGTGTGAAAAAAACAACAACATTCATTATAACATTACATTACAACCCATGAAATCTTCAGTTTTTCACATTCTTAATACTTTTTTTCCTAGATATACTAGAATTATGAAATATTATTATAAGAATTCACAGTACACATGCAAAAAGCTGTGTTATTTCCTGGAATATGTAATCCAGTTTTTAATCCTTTGCTACAGATATATGCGTGACATGCAAAACAAAAAATATTTTTGTTTATCTTTGGCAGTCATAGTGCTGATCATATTAACAACTGGAAGTCCAAAAACTCCTTACTTCCAAACTAAGTAACTGTAGTGAGCTTATGGTATGAATGTGATTTTTATCCTACCAATATTCAGAAGAAAATTATCTTTTATAACTCACTCAAATATCTGAACATTTACAGAAGTGCCAAATATGTCAAGTCTGGACCTCTTGCTTAAAAAGAAATATGAGCTGATAGGTTGATTATTCTATACTATATATTATTAGAATATTGGTAGAAATTATTACTGTTCAAATAAAAATTTAAGTGCTATACAAGATGTACAATTAATATTCACTTTGTTACATTAATATAACTGCAGTCTAGATTGTTGAACTCAGAAAAGAGGAAGGTGAATTGTGATGTTAAACCTCCCTTGCATCTGAATATTCTGCTATGCTGAATCCAAATGAAATCATGAAATTTCTCTTAACATTTTCAAAAGGGTCAGAATTAGTCTAAACTGGACCTATAAAACAATCAATGCGATGGAAATGGGGGATTGAAAAGTTGGACATATTACTCTTGAGAAACGTTTTAAAGTCTGTGAAAGAAACATGAGCAGAACTGATTGCTCATCCAGTTTAGTTCAGCATTCACTTAATTCTTTATTAGTATAATACCAGAAAGAAAAATTGTACTTATTTTATTCCATATTAATATTGTTCAAAGGAAATAAGAGCCTAAGTTCACAATCTCATGATACAGGTAGCAATATTTGGTATAGGTATTGATCCTTCAGTTGCTGTGACTCCACTTTTGAAGTGCTTTATAGGTTAGCATCAGGATTTTGAAATGGATCTAGAAGAGATTTGAGACATACAATAGTACTATAAGGCAGTGTAATTGTAATTCCTTGTTTCTTTCAATATGCACATCCTGTGCAGCGAAGATGTTGTTAACCCATATTCAGTGCTTTTTTTCTAAAAAAAAAAAAAAGGTGCCGGAATTCACAAACGTCATACAACCCGCCTTGACTACCCTACAAGGTTCCATCCAAAAAAGGTGCCGGAACTCTGTTCTGGGCGTTCTATGACAAAAAAGCCCTGCCCATATTCATAGGCAGTTCACTTACAGCACATTGCATTAATTTAAGTGGAAACTTGCAAAACTTACAGTTCTGAAGGCAGGATTTCTCTAATCCAAATTTCCTAGCTAAAACCAAGTAGAAGTGTTCTTTATCATCAAGGTCATAAGATAGCCAAACAAGCATTTTAAATTAAAAGCTCTATTTCTTAAGGGAAGTGCATATTTTTCCAGAATATATTGAATACTATGACCCCTAATGGAAGAATGACTTAGTATCAATTTCTTGCTCTTATATGGACTGTATTTAAATATATTGAATCTTATTGAATCTATTGTCATGGTCTGGATTAAGGGCTATAGTGATCCATCCATTCTAATATAGTAAAAAGAGAGATCAAAAGAGAGAAACATGAATTTATGAGAAAATACATCTTTAGTACATCTTACAATACAAATATGACTTCCATTCATTCACGTGGTTTTGTCTGAACATTGAATCAGATAGCACCAAAATCTGAGACAAACAGGAATGCAGATTTTATATCTGTATGATTACATAGAAGTTGTGAATGCTCCAACACTGGAAGTTTTAAAGAAGAGATTGGACAACCATTTGTCTGAAATGGTATAGGGTTTCCTGCCTAAGCAGGGGGTTGGACTAGAAGACCTCCAAGGTCCCTTCCAACTATTCTATTCTATTCTATTCTATTCTATTCTATTCTATTCTATTCTATTCTATCCCATCCCATCCCATCCCATCCCATATCCAGTAGAGTGGGATGATGAAGCACTGCAATTGTTGAGTTGTGTCATATGTTCTGCTTCTACTTCTTATAGTCAGCATATCACATGTGAAGTAATTATGACCATTTAAATGATAATCTTATGAAAACTAACTTTCAAACACAATTGGTAAACTATTGTCTCTTCTCACCAAAAGAAATGCTAGTATTTTTTATCAAAATTCTAAGGGCACTTAAGAACAACTTGGTAGAATATGTGGTTACAGTAGTTTCTAAGTATCTTTAGTCATGTTAAACTGATTCAGAGTAGATTTTTTTAAAGGATCTGACAGATACTTGACATATGTGAAGGAGTACTCTGCATAATAAATTAGTTTTACCAATTAACTGAATAGACTTATTCTTCAGTTAATGTTATAATGTAAAGTAACATGTGCAATTAAAATAGGAGCTGAAAATCTTCTGTTTCAATTTTTGTTAAATATGGAAGAAAGTGTCAGAATAATTGTGCAACTTTGATTTTTTTTTTTAAATAGAAACTGGTTCTTTTCCTATTCTCTGAAATGATTTGAAATGTATTAAGAGTATCCATTTCTTTTCTTCCCTTTCCAACAGAGGATTCAGCTCCTAAGCATGTCAGCAGGGTGAGTATTATAGTATTGTGCCTCAGTTCTCATTAAGTGATTGATTGTTAGTTGAGGACTGCATGTACATGTGGCAAACTTTAAGTCAATTTAAATGCCCCTGTTGTGCTTGATAATGGTTTGTATATCATTCCCAAACAAAAACACTTTTACCCAATTTTGGATAATTTACCAAGTTTGGAAATGACTGATCTACACAATCTCTTTCAATATCTAAAGGCACAAAACTTCCCAAAATTCCTTGAAGCAACTGTGGTCCCAAAAGGAGTGACCCTGGCTTATTCCTCTCTTAACTTTTAATGTGCAGAACAGAAATGGAAAGTAGGCAACCAGGTGGTCCTTTCTCAATTCTGTACTAGGAAGAAAATAATTTGTTGGATAGAGATGATGTATCCAACATTATCAGTTTCTTTTTATTTTCTATAGAATATAGAATTATATATTTTTAGAAATATAGGAAGCTGCCTTAAATCAAATACACATTTCAGTGAGTTCGATACAGAATTATTTACTCGAATTGGTATAACCTTGTTAGAAAATTGTATTGCCTTGCTTTGCCCTCTGATGCTGAGAATTGAATCTGGAACAATTTGTATGCAGCACATTCAGCTATGACTAACGTACAGTTGATTTTGGTACGGAAAAAAATGATTTAACATGGATCTAGTCCATAGGAAATTGATATTGATAAACTGTCTAGAAAAATGGGTTCTTGTGATTCAGCTTTCTCTTTTGCCTAAAGGTTCAATGTTTTTTTCAGCCGAATTTTTCATGTATAAAATAACTTATTTTTCTCATAAATGCCACATAATTATTTATTCATAGGAGGTTTTGAAATGTATCCTTATTTCCAAAATAGTACCAGAATTCTGATATGGAAGGAATGGTGTACGACCTGAACAGCCATTTAGAGAAACGGATGGATATAGCAGGGAACAATCAACTGCTCTTGTATGAATTGAGCACCATCATTCAAATAGGTAGGAAAATATGTTTTATATTTGGAACTAGAATCCGTGCATCGGGTGGAGGACGTGTCAGTTCATAGAATATCATCGTAAAGCTTCACCTATGGGGAAAAATATTAAAAGTCCTGGAACCTGTTCAGGGTACCAGGGTCAATGGTACTGAAAACTACTAAGAGATCAGTGGGACCAAGGACTATTGCAGCATCCCCATCCTGAGGAGGTTCCCTGTGATGAGAGCAGCTGCAGAGAACTCTAGGGCCAACAGGGAATGATCTTTCTATGGCAGGGGACTGATGTAATATCCCCCAAATCCAGATTATGATGTCACTGCCCCAAGGCAAGCACCAGATCTAATGTATGACCCCTGTGTTGAGTTGGGCCATGAATAAGTTAAATCAGGTTCATGGCTGCCGTGATGGTCCTGAACGCCTGTCTGACTCAGAACCCAGGTCTAGAGATGGCAGGTTGAGCCTGGGGATCTCAGATACAGCATCCAGGAGCCCAGGCAGGGTTACAACTACACTGCAGGGAGGAGGTAAGTCAGCAGCAATCCCCAGCCTAAGGCCCAGCCTCACAAAGAGGTCTCTTGACTGGTGATATTTGGGGAAGGCCCCCTGGAGGCCCATCAGAAACTCATGAATGAAAAACACATCCATCCCTGCCCTGGAGTTATAGTTAACACCACATTTATGATGTAATCCAGGTCAATGGTCTCACCCACTATCAAATAGTGGATGAGGTGAGCTTAATTGTAGGTTACCCTGGCATTAAGCAGCAGCAGCTGGAAGCCAGAGCCAACAAGACTGTGGAAACCAGTTCCTGCAGTTGATCACATGTGGCCCAAATGTGGTAATGGTATAAAACTGGAGCTCCCTTCCCCAAGAATGACTCTCCGCCATCTCCAGCTATATCTACCAATGCCCATTTCTCCTCTCTCCCTGTCTGGATTCTTTTTCACCAAGTTTCCCATCCCGAAGGGACTGAGAACCACCCATATCTATCCTAACCAATTTAGACAGACAGACTCCGCCTAGATTCTGGTGCTTCTGTAGCACATTCACTGCCTCCATCTGAGCAATTTCTCCATCCCAGCACTGCACCCAAGCCCTCCTTCTCACTACACTCCGGCACCCAGAGCCAAACTTTAAGGCTTACTGTGGATGTTTTAATCTGTAATCATATCCTGAGAATAATACAGGCAGTCCTCAACTTACAACAGTTAATTTAGTGACTGTTTGAAGTTATAACGGCACTGAAAAAAGCGGGTTAGAACTCTTTTCACACTTATAACCATTGCAACATCCCTATGGTTAAATCCAGACACTTGGCAACTAACTCACGGGGTCATGTGATCACCTTTTTGCCATCTTCTGACAAGCAAAGTCAATGGGGAAGCCAGATTCACTTAACAACCATGTTACTAACTTAACAACTGCAGTGATTCAGTTAACAACTGTGGCAAGAAAGATCGTAAAATGGGGCAAAATTCACTTAACAAATGTCTCAGGTAGCAACATAAATTTTGGGCTCAATTATGGTCATAACTCGAGGACTACTTGTATAATGTTTTATATTTATTGTGGATATTTTATTATTTATAGTGTTATATGAATCATGAATGATTTTAATACTTTTAAGCCATCATGGGTTGAATGGAATTGATGACATACAAGTTTATGAATCAATCAATGAATAAAAAAAATAAAGTGAATTAAAGATACTTTATTTTCTTATTTATTGAAAATTTTTATTTTTTAAAACATACAATCATTTATAAAAATACAATAAAATTTTAAAATAGAGAACCCCCCCCTTACCCTCCCTCCCACCCCCACCCCCCCTCCCTTCACTTCCCAGAGCAGAATACAGGGTTAAGAAAAAAAAAGAAAAAGAAAATTATAATAATTAAGAAAAAAGAAAAAAAAAGAGAGAAAAAAAAATATCATAATTAACCTTTAACTCCATAACTTATAAAACAATTCTCTATAATATTTGATATTCATTCATAAAATAAATAAAACTTTTTAATTCCATATTTTTTCTGAATATAATCTATCCACCTTCCCCATACATTAATATATCTTTCTTGTGTATGATCCTTTAAATAAGCAGAAATTTTTGCCATTTCTGCAAAACTAGATACTTTAAATATCCATTCTTCTAAAGTAGGCAAAGAATCTTTCTTCCAATATAGACCTACTAGTAACCTTGCTGCAGTTAATAAATTCAACATCAAAGTAGTTTCTTTTTCATTTAAGTCAACAAAAATACCAAGTAAAAATAGTTGAGGAGTAAACTTTATCTTCTTTCTAAAAATCTTTTGAATGTTCCACCAAATCATAATCCAAAAAGCCTTTACTTTTTTACAATTCCACCAAATATGAAAGTATGTCGCATCATTATTGCCACATCTCCAACATTTGGGCTGTATGTTGGAATACATACAAGATAATTTTTTAGGATCTAAATGCCATCTATAAAACATTTTATAAAAATTTTCTCTCAAATTTTGAGCTTGTGTAAATTTAACATTTCTTATCCAAATTATCTCCCATAAATCCAATGAGATCGGCTCCTGTATATTCTGAGCCCATTTAATCATACAATCTTTAACCAATTCTGTTTCCGAATCTAACTCTAATAAAACATTATATATTCTTTTTATATGAGCCAAGATACTTTATTTTCTTATAGTGTATAATCATACAATCATTTTCTTAATTTGGTACAAGCTGTTGTACAATCTAGTAGATTAATTGGAGGAATAGGATTTTGTTACACACAGAATCATATAATAATGATGATTTGCTTGATTTGTGTAATGATGGCATTTCCTAAATGCCACAAATTATGTTATTATTTGCATCAATTTATATCATCTATGTAGTGATGTAATTACATAAATGAATTGGGACAAGAATTGCATACAAAGTTCCATACATCCAATTTTACTAAACTAGGGTTTCACTGTAGTGATAAAAAGGGCACGCATAAAAACATAAGCTTAATTTTTGACACAATCAACAGTTAGTTTGCATTTATCCTTTATATGTAGGAATCAGATGGTTTTAGATGAATATTTCCTGCTTTTCCTTATCTTCCCATTTTATTCACCTTTCAGTGCAGTGCTGGTATTAGATACTGTTGTTAAGGAATGGATGTTGTGGCTTTATTCACTCAGTCTGTTTCCTGAGTGATTACATCAGAGTTAAGATTTCATTATTGATTATACTAATGAGGTAACAGTGACTACTGGATCCAAAGAAGCTGGAATTCAAAGCAGGAAACGAGCTGCAAGCTATTAACATGAAGTAATGGGGTAAACATGCCGGGAGCAACAAATTTGATGGGAATTTTTTTTTTCTTAAGTTACTCTAGCACATCAAATCCATTCTTTTGGGTAGTACAGTATATATGACTTGTATTTTTCAGTTTCTACTGAATAAATTATTTAATTAGTAAAATATGTCAGTATTTAGCTTACATAGATTTGACTTGTTTAGACTTGTTTATAACAGAAGCTGTTTACTCTTTAACATATTTTTTGTGTAATTCTATTGACTACGGTACTTATTGATATTTAAGCATTGACATTGATGTTCCAGTTTCATGGAATATATGAATGCAGAATTTATTTTTTGTTATGTTATGCTGTTCTTCATGTTTCATGCTTTATATAGTGGGTTAATGTTTAAAATATATACTTATGCTAATAGGAAAGCACTGTATTCAGAAACAGAACATAAATCATTTTTAACTTTTTAAAATGATTGTTTTGGCAGCTACAAAGGCTGATGGGTTTGCACTGTATTTCCTGGGAGAATGCAATAATGTAAGTATAAATTTGGAAAACTCTAATTTATAGAAATAATCTCCTTTCCAGGGTGCTTTGTGTAAAATATTGCACAAAATTTCACAGAGGATAACTATTCTAGGCCAGTTAGTTTCTTAAATGTAGTTGATGAATTAAACTATTGAAACAGTTTTCTTCTTTGTATACTTTTCAAACATCCTCTGCAATGATTTCTTTTTAAAATTCACCAAATTATCAGATTAAATCAATCAGTACCGTGGGTGCACCTTGTTGGAAACTTACTTCTAGCCCTGGATCTAAAAGCAGTGTATACGAGGGCAATTAGGAAATAAACCTCCATTTGGTAATCAATGACAGACACTTGCAGATACAGAACTTTTATTATACACATTAGAAAATTACAACATTTCGTTACTTTTCAACATAATCACCATTCAAATTGAGGCACTTGACATCACATCTTACAAGGTTTGAAATTCCTTAGTAGTAGTCAGTTGGCACCAAATCTGGGCGATGGGGAGGTGATCAAAAACATCAGAACGGAACTGCTTCAAAAGTTCTTGGGTACGTCTAGTGGTGTGCAGGCGAGCATTATCGTGAACCAACACCACACTGGAATTGGTGCCATAGAAAATCCCACCAAATGTGAAGATACCAAAGGATTTCTGCTAGTGAAGTTCATGGAGTGTGATTCGACCATCAATTCAGAAGTCTACTGTGAAATGTTACGAAAACTCAGATGACCCATCCATAACAAGTTTCAGGGCATGCTGACTTCTAGTGTGGTGTTGGTTCACAATAATGCTTGCCTGCACACTGCTAGACACACCCAAGAACTTTTGGAGCAGTTCCGATGGGATATTTTTGACCCCCCCTCCCATAGCCCAGATTTGGCACCGAGCGACTACTACTAAGGAATTTCAAACCGTGTAAGACATTATGACAAGTGCCTCAATTTGAATGGTGATTATGTCAATAAGTAATGTAATGTTGTAGTTTTTAATACGTATAATAAACGTTCTGTATCTGCAAGTGTCTATCATTGATAACCAAACAGAGGTTTATTTCCGAATTGCCCTTGTACATTGTAAGCACTGAGATACAGTTCTGATAGGTTATAATTTGCAGACATTATGCAAGATTTGGGCTAAATCACTCCCTGCTCAATGAAGAATCCAACTAAAGTATCTCCATCTCATGGGTTTTTTTTAGCTTCTGCAGGAAGATATCTCGAGAAGGAGATTCTCTGTTTGACTGAATAATTGGCTTCATTGTCAAAATGTAGTTGCTATTCTGAAATTGTATTTAATATTTACTTGGAATCTGCCTTCCTGTAAATTTAATTCTTCAAAGAAGGACAGATCCCTTCTCTATTGATCCAGTGTAGAGGACAGAGAATTTGACTCTCTGTCCTCTACACTGGATCAATAGAGGAGGGATCTGTCCTTCTTTGAATGGCAATCTTTTAGTTTTTTAATTTATTGATACAAAAATGGGTATATTGCATATTACATTGTCAAACCAGAAACATATAGTCAACAAACATAGAAATATTTACCATATGGAAGCCCTATCACCATTAGGACCACCATAGCACTCAGATAGCCCAAACATCTTAAAACATTCTTAAAAGTGAGGAGGTATCCCAAGAAATAAGACAAAGTACAGGGGCAGCCCCCAAGAAGGATCACTGTGAGGCCCTTAACCCTTTAATTCACATAAGGTGGGGAAACTTAGCAGGAATGGATAATTGCATCGTACAGCACAACTCCTAGAATGCAGCATTGTAGGCTAATTCTGCGGACTGCCAACTGCCAGCAGTTCAGCAGTTCAAGTCTCATCGGTTCAAGGTTGACTCAGCCTTCCATCCTTCTGAGGTCAGTAAAAAGAGGACCTAGATTATTGGGGGCAATATGCTGACTCTGTAACCCAATTAGAGAGGTCTGTAAAGCACTGTGAAGCTGTATATAAGTTTAAGTGCTATTGCTATTCCGATTTTGGGTTGCAGTGGCTGCAGGCATACGAAGAGACTTCTCTCTTTGTTACCTGCTTTTCCTCTGCTGGTAGACCCTTAATCAGGTCAATCCACATTTTTGGGAGAAAGAGAGATGCATTCACTGGGTCATATACAGAGTCAGCTTTTCCACAAGCCCTTTCTTTTTGCTGGAAATAGAGAAGTTCTGATCCTTTTAGAAAAATAACAGAAGTTGTGCACCAAAATTAGGGAAAGGAGAGAATGATTATTCTCTCAAAGGCCAGGAGGACCTGAATGTTAAAGTCACGTGGATCTATGCCAGTGATGGTGAACCTTTTAGAGACCGAGTGCCCAAAACCTGCCCCCCACCCTATTCCTGCTCCGCCCTGCCCACTGGGCCACCCACCACCTCCATGGCCCACCAACGATCACCCAGGCAGCCCAGCAGCACTATGGCGGCCATGCCCTCCACCCATGCCCCACAGCATCATCTGCGCACAACAGGGCGCAAGGGTGGAGTCTTGTCCCCGCTGCCCAGATACCATGTCCTTGGCTCTGCTGCTTCGTGTGGGCCGCGCCCAGGGGCAACTCTCCTCTGGAGGGGCTGCTGGTGAGGGGACCATGGGAGGAGGTGGGGCTGGGGAGACAGTGCATGTGCCCACAGAGAGGGCTCCAAGTGCCACGTCTGGCACTCATGCCATAGGTTCGCTACCACTGATCTACGCTATATAACCAGCAGGTTGCATTATATATTTCTCCCCAATTTTTGTAGAGAATCTAGCTTTGACTTTGAGAAGTAAGTAGGAGAGTATCTCACATACATCAGACTCAAGGAGAGGATGTGAGGTAACGCGAAGATAGGTAGAGGAACTGTCAGACAGTTTCCCTAAAGCAAAAATCAGATCCATATTCTGTAGACACAGAGGACTTTCAGTAAAGGAGTTGGAGATTTCTGCTTTTCACCCCAGAAGCTCAGCTTTCCCTAAATAATCTCATAATAATAATGTTGCAGGATCTAATCCGGGTTGGTCACCAGGACCAGAGGCTTAGTCTTCCAAAGTGTTGGGCTAGTGCCAGAGCCCATCCTCAGGGAACTTCTCTCTCACCAGAATGTGTGATGAGCTCCAGCACAAGTCTGAAAACTTGGAAGACTAAACCTCCAGTCTTGGTGACATTATCCTGGGATACATATATTTGTCTTCATAATCAATATTGCATTAAATTATCAGTTTCCTGACATGATTAATTTCTTGGCATTTCACTAGGACTACTTTATTTATATTGAACCATTTGGAACTCTCAGCATATTTCTGTTCAATACTTTTAGTGACCTTTTTTTGGCAGTGAAACCTCTTTTCAATTATTCTTATAGACAAGCCTAGTAAATATAGAATTACATAATTGAAAAGACACTGTAAATTAATTGTGCATTACATGTGTTTAACCTATCCCTATAGACTAGAATCTTTGTGATCATTTGTTGCTTAAACCAAGAGAGTGTTAGTGACAGTGGCAGTGAGGCAGCATGCTTTTCTGAGAGACTACTCTATATTGGGTGTTGTCACCAAGAAGACTAGTCTTGACAATTAGGCTGTGACCCAAACTCATCATTAGGACTTACAAGCAAGATCTCTCTTTTTCCTATTTCAAATATCAGGTCAGTACTTTACAACCGCCTTCAGTGGTACAACATAAAATTGATTTATAAGTTGAATAAATAGGTATCACCTAAATTGTTGCAAGTGCTTGTAGAGTGGAATTCGGTAGGTTCATAAATAGGAATCCATAGGTTGGTAAGTAATTGCATATTGAAGTTCAGGTAATAGAGAAATCAGAAATGAGTTTTGGGGAAAATGTACATTCTGAAGAAATGTATAAATACTGTAAATGTATAAATATAAATATGATTCAGGGAAAGCATTATTCAGCTAGGTGACAATAATGAGTGTAGGAAATGAGACTGGAATGGTAGGAAATGAGAAGGAAAAGTACAAAAAACCTGAGTTAAGACTGAATTAGAATAGCAACTGTTGAGTATCTGCTTAGAAAAAAGTCTGTTTTTTAACACTAGGTATGTGAGTCTACTCATGCAGATACATGAAAAAGAAATAATATAAATCTGAAGTGCATGCTTGATTTGTTTGTTCCAAATGAAATGTTGAGAGAATTAGTGAAAGATATAAAGGGGATGAGAGATGATGAATACCAGTCTTCCTACAGGTCTTAACTGAATACTCAACATTGGGGTTTTGAAATTGATTGACACAAGTATTCATCACCTGAAGCACATTTGCAGTGTTCAGGTGTTGATCCTCAATATTATAGGGGAAGTACTTATCTGATTTCAGTGTATGTGGTGATATAAATGAATTCAAATATTTGGGGTCCCCCCCCCTTTCATATGAGTTTTAAAGAATTATCACTGGTAGCAACTCAAAATATAGAACTACTATTGCAATGGTTTATAACTTTGTAAAAATCAGATTCATTCAGATGAATATGATTATAGACAAGCAACAAGCCGGGCTTCTTAATTGTAAGAGCACTGTAAGACCTTTAGATAAATGCACTTTCATATTTCATTTATTTATTGTATTTATTGACTGTGGGCCACTTTAATCACAAAGTGATTTTTAGTAGTTTCCAGAGTATGTAGTTTACAAAACATCAGGTAAATAACATCAAATAAATAAAATCAAACAAACACTCACTTAAAGAATAAATGGCCCACACCGGGGCAGGGGGGATAATAATACAGGTAGTCCTTGACTTACAACCATTTGTTTAGCATCTATTTGACGTTATAATGGTACTAGAAAAAAGTGAGTTATGACTGGTCCTTGCACTTACTATCGTTGCACCATCCCCACAGTCACATGATCAAAATTTGGGCACTTGGCAAATGGCATGTGCCATTTACAATGGTTAAAAAGTTCTGGGATCATGTGATCATTGTTTGTGACTCTACCCAAAATGAAAGGATTACAAGGTCTAAAAAGGGAGTTATGGAAGCTCTAAAACAGGGGTGTCAAACTGCCGGCCCGCATGCCGGATGCGTCATGCGGAAACCGTGCCCGCCCACCCCATTGCCAGCAATGGCAAAACAGTCCCGATACGTTGCATGACATCACGTGATGTCACAAGTTTGACATGGCTGCTCTAAAAGGTCAGGACCAAATGACTCTCAGGGCATATAGTTGCATAAGGGCACATGCTATTAGTGAGAAGGTCCCACAAAGTGATAGTGCTTTGTAGCTGTGACATGGTCAAGCAGAAGTCATAGAGACAGTTTGTCCCATAGATAACTGGAATTGTTTTTGAATGGACAGAATTCTAGAAGGCTGATATGTAGCAATGGAATTAGAAAGTATTATTTCACATTGGAAACATAAAAATAATAAATAAATTAAAAAAGAAAACAAAAACAAAAACTTTAAAGGACAGACTCGATGGATCACTGGATCTTTTTCTGTTGTTAGTTTTCTGTATGTTCTATGCCAGGGGTAGGCAACCTCGGCTCTTTTATGACTCATGGACTTCAACTCCCAGAATTCCTGAGCACAGCTGGCTCAGGAATTCTGGGAGTTGAAGTCCATGAGTCATAAAAGAGCTGAGGTTGCCTACCCCGTTCTATGCGGTGTAGCTTATTTATATTTTAAGTTCTTTTTTATTTTCTTCTCCATAGTTTCATATTTAAGTTTACATGATGATCTAATGAGTTTGATTATACAAACCTGAGGTAGTTACACATTCTGAGCTTTCAGATGGTCATTCTTGACATATAGAACATTAATTATGAATTGGGATCTGTCTACGTAAAAATGGATTGGCTCACACAGTCAATCTGCTACTGTTCATCTGGCTGCATGAGATCAACATGAAACAAAACAATAATTTTAAATGTTTTTTGTCATATTTCTAGCAGCACCAACATGGAATGTGAAATGTTAGGTTTTGATTTCCTATGTGTTTAATGACTTATTGTGGAAACAATTTAATTAGACTTTCTTTCCTCCCCCCCCTTTTGTTATTCAGAGTCTTTGTATGTTCACACCACCAAGAGTGAAGGATGGACAACCGGTACTTGTTCCTGTAGGACCAGTTAAATACGGCACTACAATATCTGCTCATGTAGCCAAAACTAGGAAAACACTATTAATAGAAGATATTTTGGGGGTAAATGATTATCTTCCTTAAAAATAATATTGGACAAACCATTAAAGAGTAGTTTAGTTGAGTAGAAAAAGTCAGATGGAGTGAAATTCCTGAGTATTGATGGAAAGGAACCTCTGAAGGGGAATGTTGGGAATGGGATGAGAAGCACGTCTACTGTGAAGGTTCCAAATATGTCTTCAGAAAATCAAGGACTTCCAAGTTAGAGTTATTAATTTTTGGCTAAAATGGATGACTAAATCCAGAAGGTTTTATAGCTTATTCACTAGGATTGAAGTTTTTAACTATGTTTGTCTAGTGATGAGAAAAACAAATAAATAACATCAGAGCTATGTTGGTGACTTCACTGCAGTCCATCTGTTTTGCTGCAGGTATTATGAGGCAGCAGTGCTGATGTTTGCCATTTCACAACTCTTTTCCACTCCAGTTGAGATTGTTCTTGTAGGCTCTATAATCATTTAGATGCAAATAGACAGGCATTAGATTGAACCCAATGGGGTGTCTGGGTGTCTTCCAGATGTCTTATCTTCTTTTATTTAATTACTATAATATGTATATGTGTAAAGAGTCTGAATACTTAATGCCAAAAATTTCAGTTTTTTCTTTTTAATAAAGTGAAATCTTCAAGGAAAAACAAAATCCAGTTACCTTTTGATAAAAGCTTCTTTGGCACTTACCTTTTTAGGATGAACGGTTTCCCAAAGGAACTGGGCTGGAATCAGGGACTGGTATCAAGTCTGTACTTTGTTTGCCAATTGTTACCGTGCTTGGAGATCTAATTGGTATCCTGGAGCTTTATCGAAAATGGGGTAATGAAACTTTCCATCTCAGTCATCAAGAGGTAAATCCTAAACGTAGTAATGAGCATATTCATATATAATTCTATGCAGCTGGCATGTAGTTCTGTGGTTGGAAATTATATTGAGGATATTCTATTGCTAAATGACATTACCAAGACACCTCAGATTAGGAGTAAAGTTTTATACAGTGACATCATGCCTAAGACAAAGTAGTACATCCTTCATTTGGCCATTAGTGCTTTTTGCCCAATCATTCTTCTTGGCTTTAGCAGTTGTGTCAGTGTTTCAATCAGGAGAAAAAGTTTTCTTGATGGCCAAACCAAGGTTATTAAATAGAAGCAAAGGGTCAGATAATGCCACATGCTGACTTGAACCACCACCAATTGAGATCCAATTGTCTCCTTGCCTCAAATAATACCGTAACATGTGGCAGAATCTGACACAGAGCAGTGAGTGTTGCCATTGTTCAGTTTGGTTATACTTCTTCCTCTGGGCAGATTTTATCAATTTTATCAGTTTTATCAACCTTGCTTCCTCTTTAGATGCCCATTTCAATGTCAGGTCTATGCTTAATCCATGAAAAAACCAGAGGAAACCTCTTATGCTCAGTGCAAAGACTTTGGGGCTGTGTGTTCTGTACAGGATGACTCTGGTAGCCCCATGGAGTAGAAAAACTCAATATTCCATAAGGGAATTGTAGTGCTAAATTTGGTACACTTCTACATTCAGTCTGAAGAAGGAACACAATACTAATATCAGTGCACTGCACTTTTGTCCTTCTATTTATTTATTTGATTATTATCCCACCTTCATAGTTTTTTTTATAAACAGCGTAAGGCAACAAAGCATACCTAATACCTCTTCCTATTTTCCCCAAAACAACAACCCTGTGAGTTGGTTTGAGCTGAGAGAGAGTGACTGGCCCAAAGTCTGCCAGCCGGCTTTGTGCCTAAGGCAAGACTAGAACTCACAGTCTCCTGGTTTCTATCCGGATGTCAGGCTCCAAAAGCAAGAAAGACATGTTGTGATTCTTCCAAGCAGATTTTTAAAATGGTTGCACACCTATAGACAGAATCTTGCCAAAGCAAAGCAAGTGATGCATATACTCGGGCAACAGTTAGGAAGGAGCTGTATTCACCCCTTTTTCTCTCACACAAACTATCTGAACTGAGTTGTCTCTTGCTTCTCTAGAACGTGCTCCCTCCCTCCTGGGAATCTGCACTACATTCCATCATCATATCTGATGATTAGCCATTATACCAAACTGGCTTTAAGTGTCCTCTTTATAGATACCTTTGCCATCTCATTTGTAGATGTCTTTGTCAGATTGTAGCAAGGCACAGAATAAGATGGGACTCCTTAGGGAGAGCACTTCTTTATCCAATCTCTCCCTCCCTTCTGTCCTACTTCTCACATGAATAATGGAAGGTTGCATAGCATCTATTGCAAAGTGCTTGTTTGTAGTAATCCAAATAGTTAGTGTTTGCTGACATGTCTCTTGGACTAAACTTATTACTAGTTATAACTTATAGGTATAAATAATACTGTAGATTTTTTTCAGATATTGTGGTGGTAGCATTTGAGTTCAAATAAAATTTGTTGTTGTTGTTAATTGCGAAGTCGTGTCCGACCCATCGCGACCCCATGGACAACGTTCCTCCAGGTCTTCCTGTCCTCTACCATCTTCTGGAGTCCATTTAAGTTCACACCTACTGCTTCAGTGACTCCATCCAGCCATCTCATTCTCTGTCGTCCCCTTCTTCTATTGCCCTCAATCTTTCCCAGCATTAGGCCCTTCTCCAGTGAGTCCTTCCTTCTCATTAGTGGCCAAAGTATTTGAGTTTCAACTTCAGGATCTGGCCTTCTAAAGAGCAGTCGGGGTTGATCTCTTCTAGGACTGACCGGTTTGAACGCCTTGCAGTCCAAGGGACTCGCAGGAGTCTTCTCCAGCACCATAGTTCAAAGGCCTCAATTCTTTGGCGCTCAGCCTTTCTTATGGTCCAACTTTCACAGCCATACATTGCAACTGGGAAAACCATGGCCTGGACTATACGCACTTTTGTTGGCAGGGTGATGTCTCTGCTTTTTAGTATGCTGTCTAAATTTTCCATAGCTTTCCTCCCCAGGAGCAAGTGTCTTTTAATTTCTTGGCTGCAGTCCCCATCTGAGGTGATCTTGGAGCCCAGAAAAATAAACAAATAAACAAATAAATAAATAAATAAATAAATAAAATCAAATAGGATAAAGTTAAACCAAGGTTTTTTTTTCTTTTTCTTTCCATATCATTTTTTACTCCTGGCTTTGGGTAACTTGGCATTTTAGAGGCAGTGTATGTAGGCTCTCCATGGACACTAATATGATTAAGTACTGCTACCTTTCCATAAAGAGAGATGAAGACTATGAGATGGGAATGGCTATTATCTTGTATTAAATGAGCAACTAAATAAAAGCATTTCATTTACATTTCCAACCCTACTACAGGCATTGCCTGTTTTGAATCTGGAACACTTTTGTTATAGGTAGAAGAGCATAAGAAATTTTCCAAAAATAATAGTGATGAATATCTATAGCTTGGCTGAAGGATGGGGTGGGGAAGATTCATTCTCTGAGCTTGTGGTTTGGTTTCTGAACATTTAATTACCAGGCTAGGTAACATCTTCAGCAGAGATATAAGTAGAAGAACACTGATACTGACATCCCCTAAACTCCGCTGAAGATGTTTTGTAGCCTGGTAACTAAATGTTCAGAAACCAACCCACAAGCTCAGAGAACGAACCTTCACCCTCATTTTCAGAAGGGTTGTAAGGCAGGAGTGGGCAACTGTGGTCCCTTTATGACCTGTGGACTTCAACTCCCAGAATTCCTGAGCCAGCCATAGTTGCCTACCCCTGTTGTAAGGCATATTTCAGACATGATGATTGCCATAGGTTTTTCATACTTCTATAATCTTCTACATAATAATATTTTAACATTATTGTTTTAATTCACGTTCTTATTTTAATTTTCTGCCAGGTAACTTGAGTAGTGTATTTATCTAATAGATAAATATAGTAATATTTAATGGAAAAATTAATAATATAGTTAATGTAACCCAGTTACCTAGAAGTCATTTAAACTGATAAACTTTTTTTACTAGATGCATACCCTTCATTATTGCTTATATAACCCAAATATGGGTAAATGTTAGTAGACTTTTCAAAACACAAAATTTTGATGTCTTCCAAGTAACCCAAAGTTTGTGTTTTTTTTCAGGTTGCTGTAGCAAACCTTGCCTGGGTCTCAGTAGCAATGCATCAAATAGAGGTAAGTCTCTGGATTAAATGTTAGTTTTCCTAGGTGGAATAACTTAATTGTAAGGACATAAATTATTATTAGTTTGTTCTGTAATATTTGGATATTGCAAAAAATGGATAGTAAGCTGAAGGCTTTTTTAAAATCATTTCTGTATTTCAAATGGCTTTACTAATTATTCCCTTTAATTTGAGATCAGTCCAGATCAGGTTTGCATTTTGAGCTAAAACTCCACTTTTCTGAAAAGAGAAGGCAGGGAATAGTTTTCAAGACAGTGCCGTTTTTCAAATGTACGATTAGAGTTATTAGCATACCTATTTCCATAATTAACTTCAAACTGAAGTACAATGTATGTGAGGCTTGAATTTTATATACGTATTTCCTTGCTTTATTTCTTCTTAGCAAATCCTGGACAGTTAATAGCTATGTTTGTAGATTCATTCTGATTCTGTTCTTCTGCTTAAATAAGCAATAGTCTTCCCAACATTTGCACCAGGTATCCAAGGGTTTGGCCAAACAGACTGAACTGAATGACTTCCTGCTTGATGTATCAAAGTAAGTGACATAAAAGTGAGTCTGTGCAACCATATTATGACTGTTTTTAAAATGATTAATATAGATATATTTATTATGATTTATTATTTATTGCTCTGGAAGTTGGTTTAAGGGTATTCATTGTGCAGTTTCATACAATACGAATAATAAGAGATTATTACAGGTAGTCCTCATTTAGTGACTGCCTCATATAGCAACTGTTCAGAGTTATGATGATGTTGAAAAAGCAACTATGCAACCAATCCTCGCATTTCCAACCTTGGCAGGTCTGTAAAGCAAAGGAAAGCTGAAAGAAGGCCATAAGCACATTCATGGTTTCACATCGCTTTGATTAATGACCAAGCTGCCAATCTTAATTGTGGTAACTAAATGAGGACTACTTGTATGCTCATAAACAGGAACGGGTCCATATGATCATTATTTTATAATAGCCAGTATTATTAAATCAGTGTTGCATGTTGTTATATTTATATCCTGCTTTCCACTAAAATAATATGCTATAATACACTCTATAATAAAGCTGCAACCTTGACACAGGTGTGGGAGGAGAGAGGACAGGACAGGATGGGAGTAGAGCAGACATGTCAAACTCGTGACATCACGTGGCATCACGCAACGTATCGGGGCGGTTTTGCCATTGCCGGCAATGGGGTGGGTGCGGCTTCGGATGAGATGTCCAGCCCGCGAGCCGCCAGTTTGGCATCCCTGGAGTAGAGAGTTAGGGTGCAACATGATACCACATTTCTGTTTGGAGCTCTGCAGCTACCATTACATTGCAAAATGCAGCAGCCAAAAAAAAGAAGGTGCTTTTCCTTCAGAGGAAATGGGTAGCCCAGATAAGAACCAAGTATAAAGTCCCAGCAAGCCAAAGCACAACCTGAAAAGCTGCAGGTGCTCTACAAATGGGCCATTAACAGAGGGGGAAAAAAATAGATGAAATTGCAGAGAGAAGAAAAAAGACTGAACAGGTTTTGTAAGAAGGAAACTTGGATGCATAGCCAATTGCACAGTCAATACTATAGGGAATAGCAATAGTTGCTGTAATAGTGTAATATAGAAGAAATATTGTAATAATATTAATTGTAAATAGGATAGGATAGGGATTATAGGAAGTGGCCCATGCACGCACACATGTGTGCACACATATGCACACAGAAATCTTACTGAATATCACTTTTATAGAACACGATTGTTTTGCAAAATAAAAATCCCCCCTTCCTTTGCTGCTTATAGGGAAATATAAAGAAACCACTTGGTCCAGGGTTCAATGGATTGTGTCCAGTGGTGGGATTCAAATATGTGAACAACCGGTTCTCTGTGTGTATGCCAGTACTAAGTGGCTGAATCCCACCACTGTTTGTGTCTCTTTTGAGTCTGGGTTAATCTAATTTGGTACCATTTAAAAAAGAACCCGTGACACAGACACCCTTCCAAAGCAGGAATTCAAGATTCAAGATTAAATCCAAGAGTTGGAGAAAGTTTAGGCATTAAATTTTGTTCCTTAATCTGTATTTGAACTGACAGATCTACATTTGTTTTATTTAGGATTTTTTTTTCCTGTATCCAGTTATTAATGATATCAGATACTGATTTAAAACCTGACCAACTTCCTTGAATGGGAAATAAATTGATAATTTAGGGACGTCTCTCCTGAGCCTCTTGTTCTGTCAACCATGCAGCTGTGGACTGTGCTCCCTCTTATCTGATTGTTCCCTAGGCAGCATCTCTTTCCCGGTCTCCCAAGGTCATTCCCACAAGCCATTACAGCAAGCCACTGGATCACCTGGATAACTTCTGTAAGGAATATTCTAGGCATCTGCTGAAAAAATTGCAGTCAAACTTGAACAAGTGCTGTCAAGGTGATGGAACGTTAATCAGTTCCTTGGGAGAAATCCCAAATTCCCACCCTCATAAGGTTTAGTACTTGCCTTTGGTTTACCAATCTTATAGATCCTAAACTAGTATACGATTCATAACTCCTTTCATTGTTAGAGATAATCTTTGGAGCCCAATACCTATAAAATTAGATCAGTAAGAAAACTTATAATATAAGGTTTCTTAAATAGATTAAAAATATCTTTTAAATTGGTAAATTTAAAACAATATAGATCATTAAAAATTTTTGAAAAGAATTTCATTACAATAAAAAAATTGTTTTTTTTCTTTTACAGAACCTACTTTGATAACATAGTTGCAATAGATTCTCTACTTGAAAATATAATGGTAAGGTAACTTTTACTTAAATTTCAGTACTATTTAGACCACAGAATCTTTGAAATGTGGTATGCAGAAGTTATGTTACTGTTACTTCTGACCTATATCTCTCTTCCATACAGCAATTGTGCTTTCAGAATTTTAAGTTTTAACAAACAATATAAAACATGTACATGTTTTGCAGAATGCCCCTAGAATGGCATATATAACACCACTATTGTGTGAGCTGGATTGGTTACCAGTTGTGTTGATTGTTACCTTTAAACACCATATATGTCCAGGGTATTTGAGAAACTTCTCACCTCAATGGAATTAGCCCATCCCACCTGCACCAGTGGAATAGACCTGCTATGGACCACAGCTGCTACGTAATTCTGGTGGGCAAAGTCAAGGAAAAGAGTCTTTAATAATAAAATTATTTTTAAAAATAGAACCAAGACGATGGGTGGCATAGGGTTGAAGTCTTCTTCTTTCCCCATTAATCACTTCCAGCAAAGAGTGCCTCCACTGGAGATCTGTTGGAAGGTTAGGAAGGTGGGTGATAGAATGTTCCACAGAGCAAGGGTCACAGTGGAAAAGAGTCTTCTCCTTGATCCCACCAAGTGGAATTCCTTAACGGATTGGGTTATATGCAACAAGCTCCTTCTGCTGGAACAAGTAGGGTGGCCTAATCCCATTGGGGTGAAATGGCCCCTCAGATACCCTGGATTCCTGGTCTAAAAGGTTTTAAAGGTAATGACCAACACCTTGAATTGGACATGGAAGCAGACTGGTAACCAATTCAGCTTGCATAACAGTGGTGTTATATATACCATTCTAGGGGCCTCCAGAATTGTCCCTGCTATTGCATTCTGCACCAACTATGGCTTCCGACTACTCTTAAAGGGTATAGAGCCCACTGCAGTAATCCAATTGAGAGATGACCAGGACATGATTGTGTGCAAGGCCTCCTGATCCAGTTAAGGAACAACTGATGCACAACATGAATTACACTAAGGTCCTCCTAAGCCATGACTGTCACATGCTCTTTGAGCAAGAGTCATGAACTTAGGAGAACCCCCCGATTGCGCAACAGGTCTATCTGGGGTCGTGCAACCCCATCCAGAATTAAAAATGATAAACAACTAGATCCTGATGTTCCGTGCATTCATAGCCACTACATCTTACCAAGGTTCAGCTGAAGCCTGTTATCTCTTATCCAGACCCCAATAGCTGCCAGACACTGTGAAAGTGCAATTCTCTGCTGCATTTCTATGTAAACTGGGATTTGGTGATTAGTATTGAGTTCTAGAATATTTGTGAAACCAGTGACTATTTTGAGAACCATTTGAAAGATTAACTCCCAGTAGTAATACAATCAGAGTCTTAAAACTTCACTGTTTTATTTTCATATATTAATGCTGGGTTTTTACATGTATGTCCTTTGCAAGCTGTTTTGGATATTTGTAATAAAAATTTGAAAATGTTTTAAATAAATCAAGGTGGGAAGAGCAGTTAGGTAATTTTTAACAATGAGATTATGGATCTGATATCTAACTTTTGATATAATGTTACATTGAAAAAATTATGACAGTGCTATAAATAATGGTAGAGATAGTAAGGTGAGATACAAAGCAAAATAAGCTTTGTCTCTAAAATTGTTTTATAGGCTTCAAAATGGATCTGAAACACTTTGGAGTAACTTACTCTATAAAAAACAAGCACTTGCCAAAAGTAGCTTGGAACCAAAGCTATTTCAGCAGAGCTCTATGTTCATTAATTCTTCCTGCCTTAGAAAAAAGAGGGCTTTTTTTTTTTTTTTTGCAAATTCTTCCTTTCCTTAGATAAATTCTAGAGAGTTGGAGGTCTCTTTAGAACTTCACAGAGATGCTGTAGGAGGAAAGAAGAATTAAAAAAACATGAAGAGGAGTCTTTGATTATTAAATGTTTATACGATTTATATCCTGCCATTTATTTAAATAAACCCTGAGCAGGAGACAACATTAAAAACAAACAAAATACAAAACTTTAATATGTAGCATAAAATTAATATTAAATTCAATTATTAAAAGTCTATCAATAAGAATGTGTCTCTAGAGATCTTTAAATGCTTAAAGAGCAGAGACTCAAAGTTACATGTTGAACTGAACCTTTTATTTATTCTCTTAATAGTAACATATGTTAGAACTTGCTTGACTATTTGTTTAAGTACATTATATAAAAACAGTGATAACTTACTTTCTTTCAGCTTGCTCTTTCGTTATATAAATACATGTTATTGGGAAAGAAATATAATTTGAGTTAAACATGTGTTTTTATCTGCACCATGCTTTTGACAAAAAAGATGATCTCCCATGTTTTCTGCTAATAAATTAAAAAAGGACTAAAAATACCGATGTTGTTTAAAGATCCTTTTGTTTCAACTTGTTATATTATTTACTATAATGCAACGACTTAAACATTATCACCAGAAAAAAAAATAGCTTGCGTCTGTCATTTGAATCATCAGACATTTTAGTTAGATTAGAATGCACAACATCTAAAGTTTTTGTGTACCATATTTCTGAAGATTGAGGGGTTTTAAAACCTCATCTTCCACAATTGCAGAATGGTGAAGCCTGATCTTGGAGAAAATAGTTTAATCAAAATTAGTGGGTCTCTCAACATGAAATCACAGATAAGTAGAACATGTCTACAGTATATAACCATCCACCTAGCTCCATAAACAAGACAGAAATTGTATATGTTTTGAGATTAATTACTGTTAGTATATAAGTATAAAACAATTCTGGCCTTGTCCCACGCCCGCTTTGGTTAATCCATCTTTGCTCTTTATAGATATATGCAAAAAATCTGGTGAATGCAGATCGCTGTGCACTCTTCCAGGTAGATCTGAAGAACAATGAGTTGTATTCAGACTTGTTTGATATTGGAGAAGTACATGAAGGGAAGCCGGTCTTCAGGAAGACCAAAGAAATAAGGTAAGAATAGTAGTCTGTTTTTACAAGTTTTATACTTTAATTCAGCTTCTGTCTATATTTACAAATACCATGACAGTTTTCATCGTTCTATGATTTCATTCTCATTGAAGTTACTTTTGTTATGTTTTGAAATAGCAGTCTGTATCATCAGAATTATATGCCTGAAATTATAATGATGCCTTCAGTTACATTTGTTCATTCAATTTATATGGCAACTCACTCACAAGAATAGGGGATAAGCAAACTGAATGATAGATCACATTATTCGCCATTTATGCATTATTCCAGTACCTAACAAGGTTATAAATTTCACCCAGTTTAATAAGAATATTCAAATAATTAACTTTGGAAGTTATTGGCATGCAATTATCTTAATTTTCTTCTCATAAATAAGAAATCTGTCCACGCTTATTGTATTAAAAAGGTGGTGTTCAGGGAAGGACTGACGTCCTCTTAACTTGTACTTGACTTCCTGCCTTGCCTTTATAGAAAAGCAACATTGGTGTAGAACTCTTCAAGAGTTCCATCATTGAAGGACACTTCAATGATGGAACAAGCCACAGCAGAAATAAAAGCAACAAGCAATCAATCACCTTAATTTTCCCATGCCTCTAAGTCAAGTCAGAAGGTATGGGCAAAGAAGTACACAGTCCTGATAGCTTTTTCTCAGGTTGGATAGATGTATCCCCAACTTTCAGGGTTGTATCAGTACCATAAATAGAATTTGATATTCTATATTTAGAACTCTGTAAAGGTGTTCTTTTCTCCCCCAAAGTGTTTATAAATGGATGGCTGATGGAACTGAAATAATGGGATAGAAATTATCTGTTCTAAACTACATCTTTCCCATTATAGCTCCAACCTGTATTTTTCAGCAAATGGAGTTTATGTTTTAAATGAAAGGGTTCATACATTTCTTACACGTTTCTATCAGTCTGATTCTTCTGCAAAACTCTTATCATACCTATCTACTCTAGACGAGTGCAAATCATCAGATGGTTTGCATCTCTGTGCTCTGAAAGAGCTGGCCTATGTAATCAGAGCCAGTGAATGTAATTTTTCAGCACTTCTGTAGCACAAGGAAACTACCAGAGGATTAGGAAAGAGCTGAGGTGGTACCAGTCTACAAAAAGGGGAAAAAAATGAATCTAGGAAATTATAGATCAATCAGCTTGACATGAATACCTGTTAAAATCCTGGAAAAGATAATTGAGTGGAGGATTTGTAAGCACCTAGAAATGAACAAAGTGATTACTAGATGCCAGCATGGTGTTTTTTTTTTTTAAAACAGACCATGTCAGACAAATCTTATTGCCTTTGATAAAATGACTAAATTAGTAGATCAGTGAAATGCTATGGACATAGTAGACTTGGACTTCAGTAAGGCATTTGACAAAGTAGACCACAGCGGACTTCTTGATAAGATAAAATAAAAAGTGTGATAGACAATACCACCACCAAATGGATTCATAATTGGCTGACCAACCAAACCCAGTGTGTAATTCTTAATGGAACTACATTTACATGGAGGGAATCATGCAGTGGGGTTTTGTCTAGGGCCCAGTACTCTTCAACATCTTCATAAATGATCTAGATGAAGGGTAGCTCATCAGATTTGCAGATTACACCAAGCTGGAGGGAATTGCTAATACTTTGGAAGATAGGATTCAGAAAGATCCTGACAGACATGAGCATTGAATCCTATATAGGTAGTCCTTGAC